TACCTGGCCACAGAACTCCCTTGAGTCTTGCGATTTCTTCGGCCCGAGTCTTGTCCATCTCAGGGTTGCCCGATGCCTGTATTTGATCACCAGAATCGATAAAAGGATCAGGGGTATCTTTGCTAGCAACCCATGTTCTCTCCAAGGGGTCCGGTTTGTATCGGCGCTGTATCGGTGTCACGGGCAAAGCCAATGATCGATTTTCATCAGCTGGTCCAGAAGCATCGACCGGCTGCAACCCGTCTGACTTTGTGCCATTCGAGGATCGCATCGAGCGGAGGATGGGACCCGTTCGAGATTTCACATTGCTGTTTGCCATAGGCAAAGGGGTTGGCGTAATGGGCGGGATGGTTGTCTCCGCATGTTGCTGTTTGTCATTGTGAGAATCAGCCAAGCGAGGGTCGAGGCAATCGGAAACTGGGGTAGTTGTGATTGTAGTAGTACTGGAGCCCTCAGACTCGACATTGGGTGCTCGGTTACTTGTATGTTTAGCGGCGGAAGCCAATGCGTCGTCCGACTTTCTTTTTTTCCGAACTTCTTTGCTGGCCATGCGAGCAGACAGCTGCTTCGCGTAGCCATTGGCGTCAAACCAATCGTCGTATTGCTTGAGAAGCTCGATCGCGTTAGGATCGTCGGTGCGAAGCTTGAGTTTGAAGTGGCTGGCCAGATGAGCCTTGGAGGCAGCATGGGTCAACAAGTGAGAGACATCGCTGAAATGGGGCTGCCCAGGACAGATGCTACACATGAGGATAGTCTCAGCCATGATCCAAGGCCCCGAAGGAGGCAACAACTAAACAGATAGAACGAGATGCAACTGGAAAGGGCAAAAACAACCAAACTGTCGAAGCCAAAGCAGGTGTGAATGAAGCTGGCGAAGGAGCGATGGAAGAGGACGAGAGACCGTTATAAGCACGTGCACAAGGCGGACGGTCGTGCCTGTCTTCATTATCAATAAGCTATTGATATTCGAGGAAGGTGCGTATTGTTGGGTCGCGGGTAAGTCACGGGACGTCATTGATACCTCAAAACAACTTTCATTCATCTTGTCATCATTATCTTAAGGTACACAATGGGTATGTGCCACGATGTCTTAACAGCTCTTGGGCCATTGTAGGGGGGTATGAAGCGGAATAAGTCAACGTGGTCATTATTCTCCCCCCGCATTGTATCCCAAAGTCCATAGGGCAAAGAACGATGGGTTATTAGATTGCGGGAGGTTTCAATATGGATCGATCATTGATCCATCTATCAATCAACTGATGAACTACCCGGCAAGGCATTTGGTGGTGATTGACTTAGGCATGCAACTGTTGATTCAAGTTAGCAAATCATACGATAGAATATTAGATACTCCATAGCTCACTAAACAGCATCTATTTCTTCGAGGCCATCGAATTTCAATAAACTCAGCCCTGCAAGGCTGAAATGCGTATGATACACATCCACCATATTTCCCGGTCGATCAGCAAAGCCACCAGCATCGGGGTCCTACGTAATGGTTAGCAAGAGACTACAAGACACAATAGGCAATTAACCAACCTGGCATTGTAGGACAAATGCGGCAAGCTTATCGCCATCGATCCAGTGCAGACGGTCGATCATGGCAAGGCTTGATCCTACCCACCAGCTATAGCAGGCATCTGCAAGCTTCTCTGGTCGACCATTGAAACCACCGCTTTCGATCTGGCGCTCACTGAGCCAAGCTCCGAGTCGATCCTTATTCACCAAGTCTAAGCGACCAGCGATGGCCAACGCGCCAATGCAGGTGAATACCTGACCAGCGTGGGACTCGGCACCGGGGCGAATGCCATAAGCTCCATCCAAGTTCTCACAACTTTGAATGTGAGCAACGGCTTTGGGGACATCGACTAGGTCCATCAGACGCAACAGTGACAAGGCATTGAGGGCACCATATAAGAATCGGGTATCTGTTTCGCCCCACTGGTCTCCCATGAAGGAGCCATCTGCATTTTGTAGGTTTGCAATGACTGTAAGTAATAGTTTAGTAAACCATCCTTGATATCAGTAAGTATAAGGGAATTCTGTACAAGACCCAACTTTCTCCTTGCCGCCTCGACCCCGCTTCTCAAGTTCATCCACAGCATCAATGGTTACGAGGATCTGAACGGCAGAGACAGTATATAACATATGGGCATCATGACCCGGGGCAGCACCGAAGCCTCCATTCTCATTTTGGCATGAAAGGACAAAGTCGATGGTCTCATCTCGAGGTAAGGTATCCGGATGACCTAGGATATGCAGGGCTGTAAGACCCCAATATACACCGTTTAGTCGTAGGTGCTCGGTCAGCCAATATTCCAGCTCATCTTTCCGCTGTGTCGGTCAATCATCACCATTCACCCAACATTTTCTTTCAAGGAGCACGCACAGTGTCCAGGTTCTTGATGTAAGTAACATGCTTTGAGGTGTGTAGTTCAGAGTCTGCGGGGCTGACCCCGGCTCTACCAGGGCCCGATACTAGGGCCATGTCTTGGAATGATGGAGGTGGCTGATTAGAGGGGGGACACTGATTGGATAGTGGATGTGCAGGTTAGTAGATCGAAGGATCTGAGAGCTTGTGAAATTATTAATGTTCTTAGTAGAAGGCGGTGAAGTTGTCAGCTAGATCCTTTATGCACGACACTGTGCACAAAACGTGGCTTGACTTTTTGATGGAAGAAGAAGAAAGCGGTTAGTGGGATTCAAAGATTATTTTTGGAATACTTGGCCCGTGACCGCTCACGTGAAAGTCACGTGCGATGGGTCTCGGTTAATAATAACTATCTTATCGATTGTATAACTACTCCTGACAAGCCCTAAAAGGTTGTTATGTTGTACATTCTGCCACTATATAATCAACACTGATTGGTAGAAACCCAATCATATCCACTCAGCATGCCCTGTGCACCACGCTCAAAGCACTGTCATCCCCGAGGCGCTAGTTTGACATCTCCAGCCATGTTTCAGATTGGATGGAACCTCAAATGAGAGGAATGCGAAAGCGAGGGCGGTGTGTCAGAGAACCTTGTGAGCCAGGAATAGGTAATAGGAATTGTATCCAAGGGTGTCGAAGTATAACTAATGGAAATTGTGCGGGTATAGTTATTGCATGCAGATTAATATCAAACACAATCTATTTTTTCTCTCTAGCGCCCCGGAGTATTATCAGCGTTGTAGCTCCGAGTCTTCCCATGTTATACAAAGTTTGGTGAACAACGCAGACGGACCTCGGGAAACCTCTCTGTTTCTAAAAATGTCTCTAAAACAGGAATTGAGCCATGGCCTGAGTCTTCATCGGTAAGCGGGAATATGGGTTCCAAGGTTCGACCCGAGACCCAGGCTACTATATTAATTTATAAAAGTGGACGCGGCACTTCGGACACGGACACGTTTGTGCATTAATTTAGCTCTTACCCCTGATATACAACGGGGTTGTGAAATAGATATAGAGTATTAATGGCTGATTACCTTGAATGCTATAGATAGACTATTTGGCCCTGTATGTATATTTGTACGCTTCTATAGTAACCATAAACAACCCCAATCCCAACCGTGGATATTCCGGCAAGGAAAATCAGGTACTGTTTTATTGCACTGTAACTGGCTCGCCGATTTACCAATGACAGGCCACATCCACTGTAACGTAAGGCAACACATTCCGTGGCTCTGACCTACAAAAGTGGAGAGCTCTGATCATTCGTGTACTCTGGATGGAGTACAGCCCACTATCGTATCGAGTACATTCGAACTAAGCAAATAGAATCTCATGCCGTAAAGCTCCAGTGTCTTGGGTTTGGAGGTGACGCGAATGTCAATTGAGTAATTATTATTCATGGAAGTTAAGATATTTATGATGCTTATCCACCGTCACACTCGGATCATCGCAAGGTGTTGGGTCTAAGTGACGTTTCGCCCTTCAGGGGGGATCAGATAGGAATTAATATTCCCCTCTTTTTTTCATAGAATTGTTTGTTGTATGTTGTAGATGTTGCAGTAAGAAGATTATATGGAAATGTTTCAAGTCAATATAATTGTGATAATTCCAATTTTAATTCTCAAATCATAACTAATTCTTATACTAATACCTAATAACTATCTCTGATATGATCTAATAATTATGACTTCTATAATACTAGCGCGGCTGGTCTGATAGTCTCTGCTCGGACTAGTGTACCGCTAAGTCTATTAGGAGAAACTTGGACTTTGGCGACTTTTTTTTGTTTACAATTCTGCAATTCCTCACCTTTCACATCTCCGACTTCGACAACTCCTACATAATACATACATCATACCCTGGGATCACTAATTGTTTCTTTTGACTTTGATCCACACGACTCCTATCTCGCCCCTTCCCTGCCGATCCCTTGAACTTCGAAGCGCCCAAAAAGAGGGGGAAAACGTGAACTCGCACTGAACAAGCCCCCGTCTCTCAAAACGTGGAGATATCGGTGGGAATAATCGAACCCATAATATGAGGCTTTTGGTGAGTGATCAACGGACAATCAGGACCCGTCCATTGTTTCTACCATCTCCTTCCTAGCCTTGGCTGTCAACAAAGGGTCGAGGTGTGGCTTCTTTTAACTCGGGCTTTGCCTGCATATGTCACCTGCGGTCTCACCTCTTGTCTTCTTTTTTGACTCTTCTGTTTCCTCTCACTTGTCTCTGATTTTGCGCTGACCCTATAACTGGCGCTCCAGATCCCGCATCCTCGATACTTCGTTTAATCCCATACTACTTTCGTCATTACACTGGACGTTCAGGTAGACAACATTGCCTATCTCCTAGTACTCCTCAGCTTGGAATCCCCTTCGCGCCCCCCACTACACGGCCAGACCTCGATCATTGATCCCCGTACAAATCTCTCAGTCGCATGCCTGACGTCGGCTTTAAAGCTGGCCAAGTACACATCTAGCAGCCCAAGGATCAATTCATCTGAAGCTCCACCAATTCTTGACCCCCAAGCCTTCACCATCCTGGATCGGGTCTAATTGCCGCCCAACATGTCGAAGCGAATGTCCACAGTGCCCAACCTCGATCTGAGCTCGTGCAAGACCGACTCGAAGAAGGATAAAGCCTCATCGCCTGTGACGCCATGTGACCGTAGTTCAGACGGACCAAGCCCCTTAACACCGCGTTCGCCCAAGTCTACATCGAGCTCTCCACTCTTCAAAGGCGCAACAATTCGCCCTGTCGCGCAGGACTCCGACAATAAGGCAACCAGCCCTATTCTCCCACATACTCCTGGCATAGAGCCTCCGACACCCGGATTCACAGCGATTCCTCAACATTTCCCTTCTCCCAAAGACTCAAGGCATACGCGCGATGCCTCGAAATCATTTTTCGGCAACCTCAAAGCACCGAAACCATCCCACAAGTCACAACATTCAGATAGCTCGGAGAACTCCACCGAACATCCCAAGAGTAGAGGCAGCTCCAGAGAACGGAAGATGCCAATGGCTTCCAAACAGTACGAGTCAACGCCTGACCTTCTAGGGGCACCTGCCCGTACGAATGGAACCGAAAGGACTAGTGAGTTCCCCTCGCGACTTATGTGTAGATCATATCTAACAAAAGATTACAGACGGACTCTCAGGCCAAAATGATTCGCAGCAAACAGGCGCCAAGAAAGTCGGTACGGATTTAGAGTCCACCGCGCCGAAGAAAAACAAACAACGATTTGCAAACCTTTTGACCCGATCTCGCTCTATTCGAGTTGACGACTCCTCCGGACCCAGACCACCCCGCCGGCGCCCCTCTACTGGTCTTGCGAAACTCGAAGAGTTCAGTCAAGGCGCAACGACGACCGCGAATCCACCCCGTTGCGCGACTGCGCGACCCGAACGTGGAGGCTTGCAGCCTCCCGAGCGCCAAGCCGACACCACCTCTTTGCGAAAAGAGCGTAGCCACGGTAATATGGTCGCGTCGGGTTCGTTGAGTCAAGTTTCCGGCGCCTCGGCTGCCATTTTCAACAATCTGAAGTCTTCATCAAGCGGCACTGCAGATCGTATTGGCAAGGCCGGGAAAGGATTCTTTAGCAAGATCACCCGTAGCGGCAGCACGAATGAGAGAGATATGATCACCGATGATTCGTACACGTGCTCAGTGATCAACCTACCGCTCATTGAGCAGGCGAGAAAGACTCGCATTGCGAAGAAGCTCGAAGACTGCCGAGACAAGACCGAGTTCTGGATGCCTGCCTTGCCATACCGCTCAATTGATTATCTAAACTTCAAGGGTTGCGAGGAAGAGGGCCTTTACCGTGTTCCCGGTAGTGGCAGGGAGGTCAAGCACTGGCAAAGAAGATTTGACACAGAACTCGACATCGATCTCTTCGAAGCCCCTAATCTATATGACATTAATACGGTCGGATCCCTCTTCAAAGCTTGGCTTCGTGAGCTTCCAGATGAGCTTTTCCCCAAGTCAACGCAAACGATGATTGCTATGAAGTGCGAAGGTGCCAAGACCGCACCACAGCTACTCAAAGACGAGCTCTCCAAGTTACCGCCTTACCATTACTATCTCCTCTTCGCCATCACCTGCCACCTCAACCTCCTTCACTCGTACGTGGACCAGAACAAAATGGACTACCGCAACTTGTGCATCTGCTTCCAGCCCTGCATGAAGATCGACGCATTCTGTTTCCAATTCTTAGTATGTGACTGGAAGAACTGCTGGCAGGGTTGCTGGACCGAGAAGGAATACCTTGAACTTGAGAAAAAGATGGACGAGCGCGACCTGCGAGTCTCAGAAGAGCAGGAGGCCGCCAAGGCGAAGGAGCGGGCCTCTGGCAGCCACGAACGCGCAGTCTCGTCTTCCAGCAGCAGCGCTGGGGAAGAAGCTCGTCAGCCTCTTCGTCAGCCCTTGCGCCAGCCTGCTCGTGAAACATCCCGTGAACCATCTCGTGAGCCACCCCGCCCAGAAACTGCTCGCCCCGAAACCGCTCGCCCAGCAATGGCTCGCCCAGAAATTGTTCGCCCATCCACTGCTCGCACCCGAAAGGCCCCGCCGAAGAATATCGAGACGGGACACACCCGGAGCATCTCCCAGCTTCCCGAGCTTGGCCCGCCGCTCTCTCCTATCAAAATTTAAATGCGAAAGACGTCTTTCTTGGCATAGATATGTCTCAGATGAAAACAGCTTCACGTCGTTATCTACCTTTTATGACCTGCTTCCAATTTGGCTGGCCCATTTTCCTTTCTATCTGCAGGACCAGATAGGATTGGACAAGTTGTTTCAGAATGGAACTACCTTCCACCACCACTTTTCCCTCTCCCCATACTTCCGATACAATACCTCCATCGCCTACTAACCGTATGATTGATGGATATCCCCATTCCCATTTGGTCTCATATAGGGATCAGATGTTCTACAATATTCCCCTTTGATGTGTACATCTTTTGCTCTCTTGGCATTTTCTCTGAAATTGGCGAATGGCCGGCCGTTTCGTTTACTCGTGCTATACTGCTTGACTCGCATTGTTTCTCCCTCCTTTTTTGCTGTCTCTTGTCTATTTGGAAGCGCAGCAAATCTCATTCCATGCTTTGCTTGATATTGCAACATCTCCAGATTCCCCTCTGCGGTTGACATTGATTTCCATCATCGCTATTTGCTCCATGCCCGTTTGCTTCGTTTTGAAATGGGGTCTACATTTACATTTTGCTCATTTTTGTTTAAATTATGTATCTAGCGTTTCCTTTCGAGGATTGTACAATAGAGAAAGCGGGAAGGCTCACTGTTCGGTTCGAGCAAGATCATTTCTGGTACAATAATCCCCATAGCCTCACACAGATAATCAAAAATATTGAGCTATCTAGTAAAGGCCATCGCAAATATCGACAGATGCAATAAGAGTGCTTTTGGTGAATCACGGTAGGTCCACAATATATGAAGAATCCCATTCGACTCCCAACCCCAACGCCAGAGATGTAAAACGAATCAAGACAGGATAGCCAGAGGCCATAAAATAAGCGTGAAAAAGAAAAGAAAAGAGCACGGAAGAACCCGATATAACCAGCTCAATCAATGACACCCTCTCACTTCGCACGAGCAGGGTTCGACCTCTTCTCATTCGACCGCTGCTTGCGCTCATTACGCTTAATACGGTCCTTGCGCTCAGTCCGCGACATACCGCGAATGTTACTTCCCTCGGCATTAGCCTCGCCCTCTTTCTTCCACTTCTTCATATCAACCTCAACAAGCCATTGGTTCTCGTCGTCCTTGTTCTTGCCCTTGTAACCCCAGCGCGGCACCCACTCGCCCGAAGCCTCGTCGTATTGCAGCTTCTTGCGGCGCTCCTTGTCCTGGCCCGCAGCACCGGGCTGCTGGCTGTACTTGCCGATGCCCTTCTTGCGGGCGAACAGCTCCCATTTCGTGGGTGCCTTGGGGACGGGCACCGGCTTGTGGCGAGGGAGGTGGATGTTCGGCGCTGGCAGGGTGAGAAGAACGCCGTCGGAGACGGAGGTCTTGATCTCGCAAGTTGTCAGGAGCTGGTTGAGCAGGACTTGGACGCCGTCGCGGGCTGTTGCTTTCAGCGAGTCGTTCAGGGTTTGGTCTGCGGGGAGCTCCAATGGGTTGGGGTCATTGACGAGCAGGTGGCCCAGGTCGAATGTGTAGGGGGTGGGCTTTGAGACGGTGATTGGCCTGGGCATGGACGTTAGTTTCTATATTTTTCTTCGTTTTCTCTTCTTGGCTTTTTGGTCGTGTATGCGGTTCGGAAGGAGTTCTTACAGTCTCTCGGTCTTGGAACCAGCCGCAGACTTGGGCGCGGAGTTCGCCATCTCGATATCAGACATAGCAATACTGTAGTATTGGTAGACTGTTGATGTTCAAAGGTTGGTATCAGCCCGAAGAAAAAAAAAGTTGGTTATCAGATACAGCCGCTTTTGCTTTTCTGCCATGACTAAGGCTTCCCGACCGCCTTTCCTTCTCAGGGCGGGCGGATTTCGCATCAAATTATTGACCGAAGTGTTAACTGCTGTTGTTCTCTCAACTCAATTCCCACCCACTTCTCCATCTCAGCACCGGTTGTCCCCTCACTGGCTGCGCCGGTGTGACTGACAACAATGGCCTCCTCGTGGTGCTGGAATTGCCTCTCGAGGCTTCGCCCGACACCGCGAGCACTCCTCCCGCCGTCCGCAACGCCCCGGATTTCGAGCGCCTCCTTCCACTCCACTGCCGTGCACTATGCCCTGCCGGCCAAGAAGAAGGGAGCTAGCTTGACCTCCATGAAGCACAGACAGTCAACCAGCTTGAGAAGGAAGAAGAAGAAGGTCGCTGACCGCGGCGGACGCCCCCCAGCCGTGGGTGAGCGCAAGGCCTTGCGGAAACGCATTGTCCTGAGCAACCCCAATGCCCTTGAGATTGAGGGCATGCTGGAGCTGTCCCCGGAGACTATGGTTGATTCCCGTCTCCGTGGTACCGTCCTGGGATTGCCTGTGCCGATGATCGATCAATTGAGAGCAGTGCAAGCCTTCAAGCCCAAACAGGGCTGGTCGATATTCCGCCGGCCTGGAACAGTCCTTCGACGTGATACCATTGAGATGGGTCGTTTGTTTGAGCAGATTTCTGGGGATGCCGATGAGGCCCAGAAGGGCAAGGTTGTCAAGAAAATTGTTACTGGTATGAAGGGATCTGGCAAGACCGTGCACTTGCTGCAGGCTATGGCCATGGGCTTCTTGAAGAAGTGGGCTGTTATCACTATTCCCGATGGTATGTGTATTTGCTGTGTATATTCAATTTTGCAGCTGCTGACCTGTCACTCTTGCAGCCCGAGATCTTGTGTCCGGTGAATTCGCCTACGCCGCTATCGAAGATAGCAACCCGCTGAAGTATGTCCAGCCTACTGCAACCTCGGCTCTGTTGACTCGCACCGTCGATGCCAACCGGGAGCTCTTGGCTAGCCTGAAGGTTTCCCAGAAACACCCGAGTCTGAAGATGCTGAAGCCTTCCTCGACCCTTGAAGACCTCGCCAAGCTTGGATTCACTGATCCTGCTGTCGCCTGGCGGGTCTTCCAGGCCCTTTGGACTGAGCTTACTGCTACTGCCCCCGCCGCAGGATTGGAGAAGGACTTCCAGCCCCGTCCTCCTATGCTTGTTACCGTGGATGGTTTGGCCCACTGGATGACCGAGAGTGCCTACCGCTCCGCTGAACACAAGCCGATCCATGCGCACGACCTCATTTTCGTCCACCACTTCCTCTCATTGCTGAAGGAGGGTGAATCCCTGAAGAATGGCGGTCTCCTCCTTTACGCCACCTCATGCTCGAACAACCCCAACCCCGAGGGTCTCAAAATTGCTCTGGACCGCTTGGCCGCCCGTCAGGCCGGTATCAGTGCCTCCTCGCCGGAATTCCCGCAACTACCAGCCTACAGCGATGCCGATCCTCGCGTCGTGGACTTCTTCCACCCCGCAGAGAAGGCTGTCAGCCCACTCGAGTTGCAGACGCTGGGCGGCCTCACTCGCGACGAGGCTCGTGGTTTCATGGAGTACTTTGCCCGCAGCGGCCTGCTGCGTGAGATCATCAATGACCAGTGGGTGAGCGAGAAGTGGAGCTTGTCTGGCGGCGGTATCATCGGCGAGCTGGAGAAGTTCGGCCGTCGTGTTCGCGCCACTGCTTCTGTCTCGAAATAAGGTTTCTATCTTGCATTTCTTTCTCTTGTCTTATCTCCGGCTTTCAGATTTGTGTTTCACGTTTACAACTGTATATCGGATCCTGGGGTTTTCCTTGTGTGTTCTTTGCCCATGTATTTTACAAATCTCACTTGGTCCGCTTGTGTCTGTATGCATATAATGGATTTGTTTTGGAAAAGTTTTATATTCTTCGTCTCTTGCACCTACACGATAACGAAAGACTAATCCGAACAGTAGAGACTCGACGTTGAATCGATCCTCTAGTTCACATCCAATCCAGCAACACCTCACGCATCCAACTTCTTCGGCCTAGGCGCACGTACCAAATCAGGATAATCAAACTTAGCCGCCACATTCAGGAAAGACGAATTAGCCGGGTGCGCCTCCTTACGCACATCATCCCCACGACACAAAAAGTTCATCGGGAAGCCAACATCAAACTCATAAGCCCCCTCAATCTCCGCCAAATCCTCATCCGACAAATCAACCCCAAGCCCCTCAATATTACCCAACAAATGCTCAACCGTACGCCCGCCCACAATCGGCACCACGTACGGCGCCTTGCGCATCACATACGCCAACGCAACGCTGGTCAAAGCAGTTCCACGCCGACCCGCAACAGCCTCCAACACCTTCGACACCGCAACATCCTGCTCCGTCACTGGATTCTGTCGTCCGGGGTTCCCGCTGCGGGCGATCTCTTCCCGCTGCGCGGTTGTTTTGAATGCGCCGCCGCCGAGAGAGGCCCAGGGTGCGAGGCCCATGCCTTCGGACGCGGCCATGGGGATAATGTCTCGCTCGAAATCGCGCGTTGCGGCGTTCCACTTACCCTGGTAGACGGAGAAGGGGCGGAGGCCGTGATCGCGTGCGTCTGTGGTTTTGGTTTTGGTTAATTTGGCCTTGGACTTGGTTTGGAGGAGTAGTGGTAATAGCCAGCTGTAATGTAAAACTTACATTGATTCGCCTTGCTCACGATCCATGCGGGGGTATCGCTGATACCCAAGTATAGAACCTTCCCGGCTAAGACCAGCTGGTTGAGGGAGGTCATGACCTCCTCGATGGAAGTGCTGAAATCCCACCAGTGGACGTAGAGCTATATATACGGAAGTTGTTGGTTAGTATAGTCTCGGTGAGTAAGTAAGCCGGAAGAAGCGAGCAGCCACGTACTAGATCGATATACTCCGTCCGCAATTTCTTCAGACTCGCTTCGACAGACAGCTTCAGACTCTTGGCATTATTGCCGACGAAGTTCGCCTGGATCTCAGACTTGTTGTGCGTGCGGTAGGGCGAGGTATACTTTGTCGCGAGGACGATTTGGTCGCGCACGCCGCGGGCTTCCATCCACTCACCGAGCCATTTTTCGGATTCTTCGGCTTGGTAGTTGTTGGCTCTTTGGATTTTGTTAGTGATTAGATCCTTTGGGAATATTCAAGACAGATTGATTGGTAATATGCATACGTGTCGATGAAGTTACCTCCGTTCTCGTAGTATGTATCCAGGATCTTGAAAGAGGTCTCTTTGTTGCATTCGCCGAGGCGTTCTTTCCTGTTTTAGTGTAAGTTATATTGTGTTTGGATATATAAGGTAGGTATTCTACGTACCAGCCATCGCCGAAGTTCATCGCTCCCAGGCATAGTGGGCTTACTTTGACGCCGGCAGTGGGCGCTAACAGCCGGTAGCGGCCGAGATGGGACTTTGGGGTGGCAGCTGGGGCAAACATGATGGAAAGGGGGATTCAGGGTAATTTAGTATAGAATTAAGGATTGAAGATCAAGAGACTCAGGAGAATCTCTTTCCTTTGTAGCCGAAGTCATTATATGCGGGGTTGAATGTGCTAATAATCCGGTGGTTGCATCGAGGTGTAGCATGATGCCTTTAATTCCTAAGTCCGGCCAAAGCAGGATTTGGGGGGAAGGGGGGGGGGGATTTAGGGTTAACTCCGGTTTTATGCAATAAATGCTACTTGTTTACTCTCTCGCATGTTGAAGTAATGAAATAAGCCCTCGTTCTATTTATAGCTCAGATCCCGTAGAACTTCAACTGGACACTATATACGGGGCTATCCCTGTCCCATCTTCAGAATACTCCTCCTCAGTCGCCTCCTCAGTCGCCTCGTCAGTCTCGGATTCCGGGTCATCGAGATCGTAGAATTGGTCATATATATCATCCACAATCTCTCGGTACTCCATCAAATAGTCATCAAGTTCTGAATCGCCCTCTCCGAGAACACCACCCCAAGTTTCCTGCTTTGGGGGAATCACCACTGGACCTGGTGTCCAATCAGCATTCCTATTATCCTGAGTAGCATCGTCAACAGACACAGATCTAGCCTTCCCCTTATCAATAGAAGGAGCAACCCCCCTGCCTTGGCATCGAGGGCACTCGCAGTTCTTTCCAAAAAGCTGCACGGCATGCATATTGAGATCGAGGTTTTCGCCGACGGGATCAGCGATCCTATAACGTTGATAGGGAATTCTGATTTCTTCCCCGGCTTTGATATCCTTGTTCGCCCAGATCACTACGCGGTTGGGGACCTTGTCATCGTATCCCCACAGTGCGTTCTCGAAAGGGCGACAGGAATGATTGAACATGCTTAACCCGGGAAAGAGGTAGAAGTTTCCAAACGATGGCTCCATTGCCGAGATGTCTTCTTTTTTCTCTCTCATTCTACTCTGTAGAGTTGGGTGCAGTACAGGTTTGGGACCATCACGGTCCTTGAACGTTGGGTTTGCACCTCGTCGCGTATGTTCCCAGGGTACAGCATTGACTAGCAACTTCCGCAGCACCGTCTGAATAACCCAAGTATCGAAGGAGAGGTCGCTGAATATGTCCACTCCAAGGTTGGAGAGGATATCAAAAGGTACCTGGATATTCCCGGCCAGAGTAAAAGGGAACCAGCTGTCCCTCCAGGGCTCGTTCGTATCGGTACCTGCCTCGAGAACGAGGAGTTCGTTGATCTCATGCGCGAGAAGATTAGGGTCCTCTTGGCGGCGATGGAGCGTAAGTTCAAGCACACTCTTCAAGAGTAGACTCAAAATAGTCCCGTGGCGTTCATTGGTGTGGGTGAAATACTGCGATCCGCCCCATGCCACTTTATTTGGTCGCATGGCATCGTGCAACCATCCCCAATCGAGACCGCAGAATTCTTTGAAATGGTATGTTTCGCGCGCAATATCCAAGCAATGAGGAGCCACTCCGTCTGATATTGCATCATTGGGAAAACAGAACAGCAGACCGCCCCTAGTAGCTCTGGAGTAACCTACATCCACACATTTACATATTATGTCAAGGCACGCGCAATCATCCGGGTGTTTCCGTCCGGAAAGAGGTGCCGGGTTACGAATGGAGTTCCAGTTGTGCTCGATATGCCGAACCAAGTCAGGGTTAATCACGGCTTGACAGTTGTCACATCGTGGGGCATGGAGAGGGTCTTCACTTTCATCGTCAAGCAGCCTGTTGGGGATGAGATTTCCGCGAATAACTGGTTCCTCGTAGTGAATCATGGTTCCTGCTTTGATGTTTGCAGTGGCAAAGACCCCTAAACCATTGAAGGAATTGTCCTCTCTGAGGGTGGGCTGCACCTGGCATGTCCGTTGGAAAGACTTCCCCGCATTGCCACTGACCGTGAAGATATTTGCATTGAGTGCATTGATAAAATATGGTGCCTCGCGTCTCACGTCTGCTTGGTCGTATGGATATCTATCGGCGCCTGAAATCCATCCGCGGCTCCACTCATGTCCATAAAGGGATGGATGAAGCGCTGACGGATTATCTCTTCTGTGCTCGATCCCCGCTCTCACAGGAGCGCTCACTGTCATCCTTTTCTTAGGAACTGACATATCGCGGTATGACAGGGGTCTTTGGAGTTGACCCTTCATATGGTCTTCGAAATCATCCCAGCAATTCAGTGCTGCGAGGCTGAGACTGGTGATGCTGTGAAGGGCGTTCCTCAGAGTTGGGATGAAATAGTTGATACCGTTTGCCTTCCTCATTTGCAGGACCTCCCTTGTCATTGGGACTCCCTTGATCTTCAATTCTACCATCAGGTGCTGCTGGATGGCGTCCCAAACACGGGTATACATTCCTGGCCGCTTGTTCCTTTGGGTTGCTGTCGTCAACACTTCGCAGAGAAGCTCTCCGCGATAGGCGTCTCCAATGGCGAGATCGAAATAGCCCAGCAGATAATGACAATAAGCACGGCTGTTCCAGTAAGTTGGATTGTACGGGCTGAGTTTAATTGCTGCTGTGTACATTTCGAGTGCAGACATATCTGTTCTCGTGGCAGGGCTCACTACAGCTCTTGGCTCACGATAGATACCCCAATGACTCAGGTTGCTTTGTCTCAAGACCCCAAAGCGCTCATCACATTCGTATTCCCATAGACGGCGTTGTAGGTCTGTCTTTCTCCCATCTGTGCTTAGACCCCTTAATGTCAGTTCATCGGTGAGTGTATCTTTCGTCCAAAGACCCGGATCTCTGACGTTCAGCCCGTGTACAAAAGCCCTTTGCTCCAATGCATCTAGCCCCTGCACGCCGTTGTAGGTCTCATCTAAGCCCTCCGCGGTGAACCGGGCTCGTGCATCATCACGCGAGATCGGCAGAATTGGATTGCTCATCAGGTGTTCATAGACATTGTGAGCCAACGCATGCATTACCGATTCTTCTTCTTCGGTTGCTCGTGTATAAGGTCGATTCGCATGTGCCTTCCATGCACGTCCGAGGGATTCATCTGGCTGCTGCCAAAATCGACGGGCAAGAAACGCGTTGTCTTCAGTCAACGCCGGGGCTAGCGGCGCTCGATTGAAAAGATCCGGCCGCTTTGGAAACGAGGGTGGATGGACAATGTCTCCACCTGGGTAGACCTCGTATAATCGTTTCCTCGGATCCATCTTGATACCTTGGTGGATCCAGAATAGACAATCGTTCTAGGGATGGGTATGTGAACGTGGAAAGAGTATGGCAGGTCTCAGGATTTCGATTTCCTTGGGCCACATGAGACTGTGAGTCCAACACAGACCATGTAGTTGCCATGGGAGTATGAATGTCAGATTAGTATCATACTTGCCGCAGATCATGGCTGAAGGAATCCCCATATCAAAGGGTCGGGAGACAAAGAAAGAGGATGGTTTATTTTTGGAGAGAACGCCGATTGAGGGTATATTTCAACAAAGAACAGTGAAAAACACGTGTTCTTTTGGAATAAACTTGCTTTCGCAACAAAGGAAGATAACAGGTCCCTTGAATAACTTCATATCACCAATATGCCTCGGAGGTACTTGAAATCCACTCTACTTTTAGCGGGAAAACCGCCAAGTATACTCCGTACTAGAGATAGCAAAACAAAGGATGAGATGCGACTATGGGATTTTCTGGAAGGCTTGTAATCCTAGGCCTCCAAGCCCTTGGATGCATTCCAATATATACATGTATATATGCCCAACGGGCAGTGCGCGGTCGTAGTTAAGAAGTTGCACTGGAAGTCTCGTGGGGGTGACGACCCCGTGCTGACCCCAACCCCAACCCAACACGAGGATCAACACAGCCCTGGAGGAATCCTTCGGCACCTTGAAAAGACCGGACTCTTGAAATATTCTCATGTCTTGTCTTTCTAAAGTGCTCTGATTCATCTTACCATGCACGGACAGTCTGGTCCTCCCTCACAGCCAGAATGGCGACTTCCTCCGCGTCTCTCCTCGCCGTCGCAACCAGGGCCTCCTCCGCCTCCACGTCCCCCGGTTGCTTCATATGCACCAGCTGTTCAATATTCGCCGGCTGCTCCATATTCGCCAGCCAACTATGGACCGATTTCAAATCCACAGAGACTGCCATCACCGAGTGCGGGTGCGGATACAACCACGTGGGGAGTGCGGTTCAACCAGAGCTCCGGCCCCCCATTGCCGGTAAGTCGAACGTTAGAATTTCAAAGTCGCATAACTAACAGTCGCATAGCCTCGACCTTCCAGTACAAATGAGCAACGGTACGCCTATGCGCAATCTCAGTCGTATCCATCTGTCGCAACTCCTTTTCACGGAATCCAACCCTCTCCCCCCCCACCTTCATATACAACACTACCACCACCACCATCTGGTGTTCCACAACCGCCGCCAAAAATCCCACAAGGCACTCAACATGTAGCGGGCCAACAAGGCGATCAGACGGGGCGAGCTCCACTGCTCGCCCAGGGCGCAGGAGCGGCTGCGATGTCTGGGTCTTACGAATTCCGCCCTGCGCCTACCCTCAATACAAATACTACATCTGTCAGCGCATCGGCTCTGGGCCCTGGAACTCCATCGGATTGGGAGCATTTTGGCCCAACCCCTGGGCACTTTGATGATGCAGCGTGGTTCCCACCTCGCAGGACGCCCTCTCTGCATCACGAAGGGTCTCAACCACCATCAAAGCTTCCGGACAATGTTCCCAACGTGTCTGTGGAAGACGAGTCGGACATTGTTGCTCGCCCGAGAACAGATACAAATCAAACGCTTCCAAGTATTGTCTCTGGGGTCACACAGTCGGGACAGGGTGGCTCAAATTCGCCCGTCAGTCCATGCACAACACATGGAATACCAACACCGCCCCAACTGGTCCGCACGGATACCACCAGCTCTGCCTTGTCTACAGGTGGACGTTCAGAAAGCATCGATGATGTAATAAATGCATGGGTTCGCCCATTATCGCCTGCGCATAAACCAGTTCAACCGGAACATCAAGGCCTCCCCGGCGCGTTCTACCAGACTAGCCCAGTAGAGCGCCCGCAGTCAACGCAAAACAGCTCGTCATTTTTCGACCATTTGCAGTCGGGCTCGAATGGTTCTGCGCAAGTGGTCGAAGGACCCAGAAGGGTGGCTACGCCAGTAAACCAAGACCCCTTCGAAGATCTGGACCCCTGGGCCAAATCATCGTTGGAAAGATATGTCGCCATGCTACGTAAGGAGGCAGTGGCTGACTTAGATGAAGAACGATATAAAATCTTCACGGCTTTTATGGCCAAAGAGACTAAGCTCCGGCAGATTCTCTATAATATTGAGCCTGAGCCTGAAAGTAAATCGCTGACTCTGCAAGCTCCTAATCCTGCCCCTCCTCAGCCGCTACCAACTTCCAATAAAGGCGAACCAGCTGTTGAGTCGGGACTGATACCCGTTGCGTCAGAAGAAATTCCTCCCTCGGCGGCAACGGCAACAGAGGATGAAGATCTCGATGATGTTGGCAGTGAGTACAGTTCAGGTGGTCGTCCTCTGCTCGTTAAGAAAGCGCAAGGAGGCTCGCAGGCTGTTCTGGGCTTACCTACTGCGCCCTCGGGCGCAGAGTCGAATCCCTCAAGACCCTTATCGATCATATCGATGGATACGCAGAAGCAAGTCTTGGAACCCTTGACTACGAACCCCCCGCGGCCTATATACACGCCATTCCAGTATACAGAGGGTCCCCAGCGAGGCTCGGACAACCTCACCTTTGCTCGCCCAGCATATCAAGGCTATTCTGACCTGCGGCAAGCAGCTGTCAGTGGGCGAGTCATGTCAAATGCACCAGCACCAGCACCTACATCTCGATCGAACTCAAATACTGCACTTGCTTCTTCCGCGCAGAAAGATCCCGACGAGACCTTTTTGGGTCTAATTCGTCACAAGAGCGTCGCTTATTCTAAACCGGCTGAGCGAAACTCTCCACCGGTTCCATTGCTGCCAGAAACTCTTCGTCAAGGCCGGTCGAGGGGCCTCGTGGAAGAATTACGCACCATATTACGGACACCCTTGGACAAACGGTCTGAAAGCTCATGGCACATCACGACTCGGGAAGAACTTGAAAAATTTCCTGATGATTTTTCGTACATCCGACGGACCGTTGATCAATGGGAGGAAACAGCACGAGCCAGACGGCAAAATCTGGAACACGAGCGCATGGCTCGTCAGGATGAATCTGAGCGGCACATCGATGATCTTTTCAATGGGAAAGAGATCGGGTATGCAGACATCAATACCTTGGAAGAAGAATTTCGGCAAAGCGAAGCTCGGGTCCAATTAGAGGAGGAACGACACGAAGTAGACGATTTCATGACACATGTGTTCAATCCTTTAGATGAAGGCCTAAAAAATGAGATTTCGGCACTTCGCAAGTCCTATGACTCTGCTCTCAATCAACTCGACCTTGATCAACAGAGCAAAGGTTCACCAAGCGAGCGAGGCAGCCCATCCGTGACCATGAAAATTGTCAACGACCTTCACAAAAAGCTTGAGATCCGATTCCAGAAACGTCTTGATATAGCCCTTGACTGTGAGCAACGACGGAAGAGGGCTGAGCGGCGACCACTTGTGGTCATGGGTGATATATCGGGTCTACAAAAACTAGACGGAGAGTTTGACCAAATGGAACGGCGAAACATTCTGGAAGCGTGCAAGGATCGTGATGATCGAGCCAACCGACTCATGGATTCCTTCGACGACGCAATCTTGCACGGGCTAGGTTTAAATCAGAGCCTCCTGGACGAGGTTGCGTCGAGAACAGCCCGACTAGATACCGCCACCTTCCGAGCCTCCGGTCTACCGCGCTCTGAAATTGGGCAGATTCTCAAATCCGCGGCAACCTTTGCGGCGTCGCTCGGAGCTGATTCGGAGGCCATCATCCGCAGCGCTGGGGTTGCAGACATGATCCTAAACGACGCCGACTATGGAGTCTCCGTCGCTGAAGCGCGTTATGCCAACTCAGATCCGGAGATTTTCCATCGGCTGGGGGCTGAGAAGATAAAAGAGGATGAGAAGATCCAGGGTGAAATGAATTCAAAGTTGCAGAGCATTCAAGAGGGGCCTGTGCAGATCGAGGCCACCATTCAACGTCTTCTCCTTGGCTTGCACAACGACCCACAAGCCGCTGCCCCTGTCTCTCCAGTTCAAGGCTTCTCCTCAACGAGCCCATCTGGGGAAGTGCCTCTACATCCTCCAAGTCTTCGCCCTTCGACTACTAGCCCGGGTCCATCTCCCAGTCCCGCGCCCGTGAGCCAAACTACGGATGAAGACTTGGAACATAAACAGAGGCTTCGCAGAGCATTAGAGGCAGCCAAGCAGCGCAACGCTGCCAGGGGCCATTGACCGAGTTGGGGGGCCGAATGGAACATCCACGACGCGACGAATTGTGATGAATTTCCTTGCGTTTCTAGCATACCATTTTATCTGTTTCCTTGTCCTGTCCTTCAAATGTTGTGTTTCTGCTGTCACGCATTTTTGGTTGATACCCACTTTATGCAACTAGTTAAATGAAGACTGCCCCATGACATTCATTCGTTCTTTCTCTAATCAATCAACCTCTGTATCCAAGATTGGTTCCGCTTACTCCAATCCTCGACCTCGTTCGCCTATTAGGATTAGTAGAATTCGAAAACAGATTACCCTTGAGACATTCATGCTTTCTTTCAAATCGTTGCCAGATTGCGCTAAACTTCATTCAGTCAAGGAAAGTCCTACATTGTTTTCGTGATGTAACTCTACCTAGGGAGGGGCGAGTTTACAAACATTGAACATTTGAAGCGGGGGCTTGGGCATCTTTCAAAATATTCACTTTCCCGTTATCCAAAAACTCAACCAGTTGACTTCATTGCTTGCTCAAATTGAATCCACATCCAGTTCACAATGCAACCAATTTCTAGAGTTGACTGGGACAAAGGTGATAATGATGGGCTTGTCACTGTCGGTTCCCATAACCTCTACCTGTCCGTTTCGGGGCCAGATCGCAAGCCTGGAGAGCCTATCGTTGTTCTCATGCAAGGCCTTGGCAGCACGGTCGATGAGTGGATTGCAGTGCGAAAGCTTGTGGTTCCATTTGCTCGTTGGTTGAACTATGATCGTTCAGGGTTGGGTAGGAGTGAAGGTCCCAACCAAACACCACCAAGCATATCTGCAGCATCAGTCGCAGCAGATCTTGATACACTTCTAAGAAACGCCAGTATTGAGCCTCCGTTTATCATTGTCGCCCACTCATGGGGAGGCTACACTTCTCGCGAGTTTCTGGAACTCAGGCCCAATGATGTCGTGGGCATGGTGTTCGTGGATTGCAATACTGAACGTTTATTTGACAGTGGTGCGTGGGGTTGGGACGTTTTCGGTCCAGTCCTCGGTGACCAAGACTTTGTTGAAACCACCGGTCTTGCAACGTCCCATGTCCTATCCGAGGAGGAGTGGAAAGCCGTCAGAGACCAGCAGGCTAATCCCCGACATGGACCTACCGAGGCTGCTGAGTTGCAGGCGGTGCCGAATAACAGACGGGCATTGGCCCACAAGAATCAACTTGAAAAGCTACTTCTCAAGGATTATCCGGTCAGTGTCATCATTGCGGATACACCTAAAGATTTCCAGAAAATGTATGACTTTGGAGTGGCCGCAGGCAATGGAACCGAACAAGAACGAGCTCTGTTTCGAAAATGTCTCGATAGATGGCGCGAGATGAATGAGGACTGGCAAAGAGATCTTTTGAGGCTTTCTCGTCTCAGCAGATCTGTTCGTCTGCATTGCAGTCACAATGTGCAGCTTTTACAACCACAGAGCATAGTTCAAGAAATACAGTGGACCATAGACAGCTGCAGATAACCCTCAATCTGCTAATAAAGCCTTGAGCTCCCGGCTTGCAAATCGGACCCTCCAATGATGTGACCTTGGCTTTTGATCCTTAATAAAGAATTTGGAGCCTCGAAGGAATGGTGCGTGGTTGCGACCGGGCAGGTGCGTCCGAATATTGCTGGTGGAGGGCCATTTTCAGCGTCAGGAAGTGCCAGTTTCGGCCGTCCCAGCACAAATGGTTTCTGTTTAGGGGGTAAATTGTCTATTTTGATTATTTTGTCTCGTGCAATTAGTTTATAGCCAATTCCTGCTGTGTGAACCCCGGTTATTGTCTGCTTTCTTCTAACTGTATTCGAGTTTATAATATTCTAAGATTGTATGTTTGTCGAAGTATACGCCTTGTTCGGGTCAACAGCACAAAATTTGACGGAGTCTTTTTCCCGATGTTACACAAAGAACCTTTTGCATTGTATTGTTGGCTATAAACATCAGCACCATAGCATTATGTCTTAACCACCTCCAGAGTTCGCAGGACGACTTTGGTAATTGAACCAGTGGTTGACATCATACATTCTTTCCCCCTTCAGAAGACCCGTAAGATTGCGATACAGTTTGACGGCCATGCTGATTTTGCTTTCTCCTCCCTTCGCGCCACTGTGGCTGCGTCACGTACAGGAGGAATTCTGTCAAGTGATCCAACGTGCAGGACAAAAAAGAACGGCGCACAGACGATATCTCCGAACCCTCAGCGAGCCAAACCCAAGAAAGTTAGCCATCACCTAGGGCTTGTGTGAATCTGACCATTTCTAGGCGCCGAGGGATGGCGATTGGCAGACGATAAAGCCGAGCCAGAGAGCTAAACGCCAATTTCTGCCGATCAACGCTGTTGCGCAGTCAAAAGTGGCTGCCGCAGCTCGACCGGTCCTTGTCTCAAGCTGCCCCGCATTAACTTGCAGGGATGGAGGATTACCTCTAAACCCAATACCCAATATGGCGGGTCTTGCTGTGCCGCACAGTTCCCTGCGTGCCGCGCTCGGATTCGCTACGCTTTCGCACTATACAATGGATATCGTCACCATCCCGGACACGCCGCTACAGCATAGTCTCCTGCGCAGGATTTTTGGACCACTTGACATGTCGACTTCGGTTACAGCTCGGTGATCCACTCTTTGGTGATTTGTCTGCGCGATATGCAAGGCAGACCCCTGCTATCACCAACACATCTATGATCCTGGAGACCTCGAATAGTGTCTGAGGACTTTGCGGCGTATGGGCTTGCTTATCCTCGGCTGTGCTCGCCGGCCTTGGGAGTCAAGAGCCTCAGAATTCTCATGGGAGTGTCTCCATGTCTTCCGAGCCAATGACCATCCTCGTTTGGGATAGTCTGTCACATTCGACCACGTTGATGGACAGGGATACTGCGCTTTCTTTGTTTTTCTCTTTGAGGGTTGTTGCGTGGCACCTGGACAAAGAAAGCATCGGGTGACCTATCCGAGAGCCAGCATCCTAATAATTCTCCACTATGGAAAATACCAAGGTGCAATCCTGGCCACAGAAAAGGAACTTATCTGAATGGTGGACCCAAGTGAGGCTGCTCTGGAGCTTGGAAACAATTTCCAATTCCTTTTCGGTTTCTCGGGCGGCGATCGCAGCTTGTGCCTTTGTGGTTTGACCTTTGGAGTGTACGGGAAGCACGGGAAGTACTATTCCCGTTATCTCGTGCCTGCCCTTTTCTCTGCCCTTTTTCCCTGCGTCGGGGTCAATATCTATGCCGCCAACAGCGTCTACATGCAAATACGAGATGCAAGCTTTGCATTGGCCAACTGTAGAATCAGCCACTGTGCGGCTCTCGGGCATCAACAGACAACATACCATGATTTTTAACTTTCAGTCGATTCCAGTCACATTCTTTTCAGTTGCATGCATTGCTCTCGGACAAAAGAGCGCAGCATCTTTACGAGACATGGCCCTGTGTTCCCCGGAGACCGCCGTAGCCATGCCCGAGGTCAGAATTTGTTTTCGGGTGCCAACCACTAAACCCCAGATCTTACCACAAGATCCCCCATTAGTGGATGTCTGTGCGCTGTGCGATGATGCTGATCCTATGAGACGGTACTAGGATTAAACGGCGCGGCCTTGTCGAGACATCACCCCTTCCTTTTCCTCCTGCGGCACCTCCCATTGAGGCTCCAAATCCCCCCCCCTCTTTGCGATCTGAGCACTCACCTTTCACTAAGCGCTGTTGGGTGGGAAAAAAAAAAACCTGGCAAATCCAAAGATCGATTTCCAGCCGGAAAGGTCGGAGATACAATTATTTTGCGCAGTCGAAATGAGGACAAAGACATGAAAAGCATTGTGTCTCTTCAATGGCCCCTGATTATTTAAAGCGGGCGCCAGGGAAGCCAGTTCCATGGTTCAGTGTACCCGCTTCCGTCCATGGGTCGGGAGAACTCTGTGAGTCTACCAAAGTCCACCGTGTGGGAAAATACGCTGCTCTTCGAATTCCGTAGCCCCTCTTTTGATTTCTGGAGGGGACGCCTGTCTTCTCTCTTTTCTTTTCGCCATGTCCGCTCCAACGGGCCAATTCCACAGGCTGTCCATTGGTCGAAATATGCCAGATACGGCCTTGCCTACTAGAACGGCCCGCACGGGGCGGTCGGACTCTTCCAGCGACGAAAGTGATCATGGAGAGGCCGATAGCTCTTCGGAGAGCTCTAGCGATGGAGAAGAAGGGGACGAGGGTGAGGGCGAAGAAAGCAGCGGTGACGAACCGTCCGAATCGAACAGCGCCTCCGTCCTCGCAACATCCGGCATCACCTATGATCTCAGTCAACTAGATTCCGAGGCTGAAGCCAGGGCCTTTGTGGGCTTGACCGGCCATTTCGATGTTGTCAACTGTCGCTCTACCCCCGCCGGGTATGACTTCCAGCTGTCGGATCGGCCACAGGTGCACATCGGCGCGGACTCGTCTACCTGCACTTGCGCGGCCTTCCAGGATCGACCGGACGGCGCGTGCCAGCACATCTTTGTGAGTGTGCCTTTTTGGGAAAAGAAGCTTAAAACTTGAAGGGCTTGAACTGCCGATACTAATCCCCATCCCCTGAACAGTGGCTCGTCGATCAACTGCACGGCTGCTTCCTCCCCACGCCTCGGTCTACGGAGGTGGCACTGACTCCAGATGGACGTCCGGACCGTCTCCCTCGCATTGAGGACCTTTTGCAGGGGAATCTGATGTCGGTTGCAACGCAGCTCAAATGGCCGTACCAACGGGACGAGGAGGACGGCATGACGCGGACAGAAAAGGTCCGGGACATTTTCTCTGCGTTCAGCAACCGGACTCTCCCAGAAGACACTCGCCGGGACTTGACAGAGACAACCGAGCAAGCACGAACCGCAGAGCAGTGCGTGGTGCAAGGGGATTTCGAAGCGACCATGTTCCGACTCGCAGTGCACGATGACGGGGTTTTCAACAGCCTATGCAAGGCGATGCCCGCCGGCGCGTGTGCGGCCATCTACTTCGACAAAATACAAGAGCAGTCACGCCGACTACTGAGCGACTTCGACCGATACTGTGCAACCGGTGAGTTGCCGGCGAACCCCGTGGTCCCAGGTCTGGGTGTAGAGGTCAACGACGTTGTAACCCATCTCCAGCGTTCTGTGTCCCGCATTGCAGCCAACATCACCGCACGCGCCCCTCACGGCTCTGAAAGCGCGGCCGAAGCCCTGGTGTCTCTTCTAGAGTCAGTCGTGGCTCGCAATAATGATCCCCTCGAAGGCAATCCCCAGGGTCGCCGGTCTTTCCACGGCGAGGACGAGGACCAGCGCAATCTGTATCACTTGCTCATCGGGTCGGTCGAAACAGACTCCGAAACAGACGCGCGGCACTTTGTCCTTCACGCGCTTGATGCCCTGCCGCCGGTGGACCTCCACCAGTGCGCCAACCGCCTGCGCGATATCCTCCGCAAGATCGAAGTCAACCGTGCTCCGAAGCCATATCTTCTCCATCTAGGCTCGTTGATCCGTACCGGCGAATCAGCCGCCACCACTGCGATGGGATCTGGACAAAAGCGACCGGCGGCTGGGAATGGGAATTCTGGGGGTTCAAAACGAACCCGCTGATTCGTTCTCAATCTTTTTTTATACATATGTTTGTTATATTGTTCTGGGAGGCCATCGTGTTCATTCATTGCGATACCCCGCTGCATCGTGTCTTTGCGTTTCATCAGCGACGGATCGCTTCAGGTCTATTTTGCTTCTCGGTCATGGCAATCATTTACGTGTTTGATGTCTACTATCTAATATACGATCATAAGAGCTGCTAGCATTGCTATAGCCATTGGCATATACAATGACCCTCACAGACAGCGCAGACAAAGTTTCCAATCCACCAGAGCTACCAATGTCTATAACCATGTAAAATGCAAAATGCAAAATGCAAGTCTCATGAGAAAGATGTCGTCATTCCCAGTCAGCACGGCCTTGGGACCCCACGTCTACCGTGAGCCGGGTGTCACCGCTGCCACGGGCAGGGATTAGTTAGCCCGATTTCCAATGCCGAACCATGGTACAACTCTCGGTAGCGTGTGGGTCGCCCACACTTTGAAAAACTCTCAATTTTCTTCTTCGGGCGCCCAGCAAAAGCACGCGAATCAGCGCAAAGACCGAAATAAACCTTGCAAATACCGAGATCAAGATCGGAACGCATCCATGGAAACGTAGATCTGAGATCCAGATCCGTTCGATCGCTTCGCACATCTACGCGTACATTTTGGGGGACGGATATTGGATATCACTACGGGGACCACTCAATTTCAATTTCAATTTCAATTCAATCTCAATGTGCCCCTCAATCCAACGCCCAATGCACCAGTTAATTTCGATAACACTCACCAATAACGTGTCTCGAAAATGCGGTGTCCTCTATGCTCATCGTACGATTAGGCATACATGCCCATGCGATATTTGGCGGTGAGGGTTTATTAGGCACTCAGAAGTGGATATTACGAGTGATATAGTCGTTGCAGAGCAAAGCGACTGATTCTAACTTCTAATGCTGCGCAAAGCCCCTCTTACTGGCTTATTGGCTTCACAGCAACCCCTCAGCTACAACTCCTCTGCTTTTGTCATAATTCAGCCGAAACTTGTCCACGTGACCTTGCCCGGTCACCTGACGCTGCATTAAAACGCTATTATTTCAGCCCCATTAGGAGAAACCATGGACACGTGACACGTACGTAAGATCTTCTGATTTATACTTGCTTCGCTTCGCTCCGCAATCATGCCATGTCGATGTTTTCGACAGGGATTGATGCCCAGGTGTGCGACTAGGACCGGCTAGGAGGTGTTTAGACCGTGGATGCCAATTTTTGGGCCCGTGCACACGGTTTGGGGGCTAGTGCTTAGGGCTGTGTTTAGCTTTGGGGTGGACCTACAGGGATGTTGTATAACTTGACAATGGTATTGTATGCCGGATCTACATATCTGTATCACGATACAATGTCGGCCATGAGAAGGTGTAAGATCGTTTTCTTGGCCGATTTATCTTTGAGCAATCGGGTTTGGGAAATATTATTGTAGTAAATCACTGAGAGTATGAAAAACTCCCTGTAGTATCAATCATTTGCACAAGACTAATCCGAGGAGTCCCTCTTCAATAATCTGAGTATTAATCCCTTCAAAGTATCCAAATGATCTTCGTGGGGATCTTCTGAAGATCTGAAAATCTGAAAATCTGCGTCCCGTTCAAGTAGAAGCCCCAGGCAAGAGGGTCTTACTACGAGGTGCTGAATGAGCGTTCGCCTCGAGGTCAGGGTAGTGAAGACTGTTACAAATATAGCCGCGAAACGCCGCTAGAATAATTGGGATAGATGATAGACAATATTTTATGCGGATGGCTTTGATTTTTGAACGCATGTGTCTTCGATAGGAAGTCAGCTCTTGAGAGTTTGCATGGCTTTGCTACCTTCTCAAGGTTGCTTGACTTGGCCATGATATTACTCAAGAGTGATTATGAGACGCATGATGCATCGTCTGAACAGGTATGTACCTGGGTACATAGTGGAAGGCGAGAATGGTGATTGGATAGATGATAAAAAACCAATAAGTATCCGTTGGTTAAGTATCAAAGTCAGTGGGGCACGAGAAAGGATACCCAGTGGCCTAGTTGGTAACTCTATCGAACAGTACCTGCTCTAAACTACCCTCTAGGTCATGTCGAGAATTACGCACTCACGGATCTGGGTTCGTTTGTCCACTTTTTTTATACTTTTTTTTTCTCTCTCCCTACTTCTGTTATATGATAACAGTTTTTTGCTCTTCGTACGCTTTCAATTTTGCAGATGACATTCAGCATTCTATCGAGGCATCCACTGTATGTCAACAACATGAACTCCAGTATCAAAATGCGCGTCATTCATACTATTGGCCTTGGCCTGGGCGTTCTTTGAAATCTCCAGTGTAGATCATTGCATAGTCGCCAGATGGTCATGTATATCAACGAAGTTGTTCCGATCCATCGTCTCTTCGTCTCCAATTAACTATTCTTTCTCTATGTCTTGATATTCTTCTTTAAAAGGTCCATTTGTCCCAAATTTAACTGGCCAGACTGCCATTTTGCTTATAAAGCACACTTTTTCTCTTTCATCAACAAGGCCGGCTGGCCCAATGGCAAGGCGCTTGACTACGAATCAAGAGATTGCAGGTTCGATCCCTGCGTCGGTCACTTCTTTTTTTGCCCATTTCTTTTTATTCGTCTCTCGTTTTGACCTTTCTTTTCCAATTTTTGATGTGCAAAATATTATAGAGTGAATATAAATTGTTCTCGGCATTTTTGGCGAAAAAAACTCACTCAATTGGTGCAAAATATCAATTATCGAATATAGCGGTTAGCCGTTATATATCCTAGCCATAACACCAGTCAACAAACCAACTTTACTAGGAACGAACGAAAGGTTCCTATAACAAGATGAAACCAGATTCATATATACAGCATTCATCCAGAAAGATCCAACACAACCCGACCCTGCATCTTCCCCTCCTCGAGCTCCTTGAACACCCCAGTCAAAGCATCCATCTTCTCTATCCGATAATGCACCTTAATGACACCCCTGGCAGCAAACTCCATAGTCTCAATCGCCTCCTTCCGACTCCCAACCGCCGACCCGGTAATAGTCCACTGCTGGCCAACCATCGCAGACGGGAACGCCGTCGCAATAGCCTGCGGGTCATGTTCCGGAATGCCCACGCAGACCAGCGTACCATTGAAACGCAACAACGACAGCGCCTGCGCATACGCCGCATTCACAGCCGTACAGACAATCGCCGCGTGAGCGCCCAGTCCATCTGCCAGCGAATGAACGTGCTTCGTCAGCGCGGCCCCATCATCGTCCCTCGGGAACTGCGTGATATCCACGAAATGCTCTGCCCCAGATTCCTTGACGAGTCCCTCTTTGCTGCCGTAGTCGATGCTGATTACGCGCAGGCCTATTCCCCGGCTCGCGAGCTGTACTGCGAGGTGGCCTAGCCCGCCGCCGGCACCGGAGATTATCACCCACTGTCCGGGCCGCGCGTTGCTGCGTTTCAGTGCGGAGTATACTGTTACGCCGGCGCAGAGCAGTGGTGCTGCCGAGGCGGAGTCGAGACCGTCTGGGATAGGGGTTATGTAGTTTGCGGGTCCTAGTGTGTATTGCTGGAATGTTCCTGGGGTGTAGTAGCCGGAGACTTTCTAGTTGAAGCACAGTCCGTCGGAGCTGGCTTGGCAGGGTTCTGGATGGGGGGTTGTTAAGTTCGAGGTGTATATTTGGGTTGTTGAGGAAAGTAAATGGCATACGTACGGCAGTGCCCACATGCACTGGAAACCCATTTGACACCGACTCGATCGCCGATCTTTAGGTTTGAGGATTCGGTGTCTGCACCGAGTTTGACTACCTTGCCGACACCTTCGTGGCCGCCCACTTGGCCTGGCTGAGTTGGGTGTGGGAACGCGCTCCACTGGGCGGTATTAGTAAATACATGAGACAGAGAGGGTAACTAGGATATGTGCATACTCTGTTGGTCATGATACTAAAGTCCGAGTGGCACACGCCGGAATGTGTTCTATCATCGTTAGTACTGTTCTAGCATTGAAATCAATATAACAAGTACAAATTAATGAGAACCTCGCCCGTACCAGGCTCTGGGACATCTAGTTCCACAATCTTTGTCGAAACCGTCCCAGGCTGGTCGTAAATAATGGCCTTCTGATTGGTGGGGATTTCAGGAGCGGCCATAATGAGTGATACAGGTTGAAAGGAGGTCAGATAGCCGGAGAGATGTCTATAGAGAGAATACTTCATTGAATGCTGGAATGGATCTTAAATAGATTATCTCAGATGGTCAAGTAGAAAAAGAGGAGAATTAGCGGAGAGGGTCCTGTGATCGAATAGCGGGGTTGGAGACTTTTGGATCGACGGATCAAAGGCACACGCTGGCTGTGCATGCCGAGGAAGCTGGCTATCCAGGCAGTCATTATGATAGTGTTTCTTTGTGCTGGGATGAAGTGAGGGGTGAAACGCGGAGCCATGGAAGGACCTCGGTTCCATAAGCTGCATACATCTGCATCCATTGCTGGAATGAACAATAAAGTCAGAGGAGTGGATTGTAGAGAGATCCAAGACGTGGAATGTTGGGAGTTTATATACATTGGAGAATCCCCAAGGTCCTCATCCATTTGATAACATAGAAACGTGCTATACCTCTTTTCGGTTTATCTTGGAGAAGTGATTGCACTCAAATTATGAACAATACATGTGGACTAAGTATTTTTATTGGCTAAAATGGTGATGATATTTTTATAAAGTGCTTGGCCTGAAAGTAGCAGCAACCATCCTTTGTATCTATTCTGAACCTGAAAACTGTACATCAACGCCCCATATTTAATGGCGCCTCGCAAAGCCTATTTACCCTGCCTTGTGTAATTTATATTGTGGACCCAGTACACATTGGTAAGAGGGATCAAAGAGGCTTGGATTGCTAACTCGTGTTTGTACATCAGGCAGAAGGGCCGAAACTGTTATATTAAAGCACAGACCACATAAAAAGGGTTCCCATACAAAGATTGTTTATCGGGGCGTATCCTTGACCCTGGATTAGGTATTCGCTGGCTACAGCATCGGTGCCAGCGAGCGGGACGTTCCACGTATACGTGTAACCACTCTGAGATTGAGGCGCGACACCGATAGAGGACCACGACCACTCCGCATTAGATTTGGATTTAGAATTCCAAGTGCCAGTATATTCGTAAAACCCAGAGTAAAAGGCATTGCCTTCGACAAGGTAGTTGACGATCTGGTGCAACTGGGTACCTAGACTGTCCAAGCCTGGCTTGTCCATCGGCCACCCGTGGACGGGTGTTGGGTTAAATGAGTATTGATCATCTTGGTTGATGCCGATGAATAGCCGCACAAATGCGTATGGTACCAGGACGTCGGCTTTGTAGACAACGGTGTCACCATTCTGTGTATAGCTAACATTGGTGATTGGACCGTCGGACGGTAGGCTTTTCGTGCTCGCCGAGATCGTCCGGGAGGAGCCACCGCCACTACCTGAAGCTAAGACCGTCCGTACCTCGAAGGAGATACCAGAGGATCCAGGGTCGAGCATGCCGACCGTAGCTCGGGTCAATGAGGCTGGCAGTTCCAGTACCAGTGCACCGTCCTTATATACTGCGTAGCCAAGAGCATTCGAAACTGATGACCAGGTGAGTGTGACGGAGCTATAGTCCGAAGAGGAGATGGCGACATCACTTGGAAGACCAGCAACGTGGGAGCTAGTAGCTTTAGCTGGGTTACCAATGAGAGGCGTGCCACCTGGTACGGCGCCGATGAGTGCTTGCATATAAGCCTCGCTGGGTAGATTGTCGTAAGGGTTGGGTTGGTCATCATCGGTAATTTCCAGTAAGCCTGCATGGCGGCTCGAGGCAAGAGCAGCAACAGTCGCAACCTGATCCTGTGGAACTTTGTAGATGATGTGCCATAGCTTTCGGGGATCCTTTGGCGTCCAATCATTAGGCACATACGAGCTTATATAAGTCTCGTAGCTGCTCTCGAACGTCAACAGCGTATCCATAGTGTTTTCAAAACATTGAGCTATTGGAGAGCCCGGGTTGAGTACTGTGAATGCGCCGGGGTATTTGTTCTTCGTATATTTGTTGATGTATGCGTACAGATCGGCGTAGATATTGTTGGGACCGCATTCTGGCCAGCCTTCATCAAAAAAGATACCGCCGAGACTGGTCCCATAGAGCTCGAACCACTTGTCGACATCTTGTTCGATTTGCGAAGCCCAGTCTGCGAGGTCTTTCGAGCCTAGTCGAGTGGTAAATTGTTGTTGACTCACGCCAAGATAGCCAGTCCGAACATAACCAAGGATCTTTTTGCCTTGACTCGCAGCTTGATCAATCACCGATTTCCAGGCTTCATCGACCACATAATCTGGACCGTTCAAAACATTGGCAACCAATATGCTGAGTTTCTGAGTGTCGTATGCGAAGATTCGTTCCCACGAAGCCGGGTCTCCTAGGGGGTTGATATACGACGCCACCGCGATTTGTTCTAAACGCACGTACACCGTATTAGTTTTGTTTTATTTGAAGTAGCAAGCCAATTGTACGTACGGCGGTTTGGAGCATTCGAGTCGTTTGATCCACTCGAGCCGGAGTAAGAACATGAGTTGTAGGAGAACTTCTCCGGTATTTCCGGAAGCCCATTGTCCTGCTCGTTCTTATTGGCCATTTCATAAATGACCAGTGAGGCAATGATCTGATGAAGTAAGGGCTGGGGATGGAACACCCGGCCATACCTATTTATCAATCATTTGTCAGTGAAATATTCTAGCCCCTTTCGCCAAGCTGGATCAATTTCTTACCCGTCCGGTAGGAGGTTTGGGATCTCTCTTTTTTCAGAATCTGTGGCACTTGGTGCCACCTTGGAGACGGCAAGAGACTTGATTGAAGCAACAGTTTCGTCGGAGATCATAGATTGATCTGACAACTTGGCGTTGGGATCTAACCAAAGTGTAATCTGCGCGAGCTCGTTGACAGAACCCTCAAAGGTTCCATCCTCAACTTCATCCACGCTTCGTTTCCAGGGATTAGAGCCCCCGAGGTCAAAAGTATTGAGCTCGTAGAACATGAGACCGGTTCTTTTCTAGTCGTCAATGGTATACTATACAAGTGGTAGGCAAGAACTCACCTTGTGGTGCTTTCAACCGTTGATTCGTCGACGCCATCTTCACAAAAGCGGCCATTGAAATGGCCCACGTAGGAATCGTAGTTGACAAACTTGACTTGGGAACCTGCTCTCTCTACTGCAGCCGCCTGTAGAACAACTGAAGTTAGTCAAACCTAGACCAGAAAAAGGTAGGGGCATCAAGACCAACAATCTGTGCGTTGACATCATCGACAAGTTCATTCATGACTTTTCGATGATCGGTGGTGAGTTTCCCCGAATCCTGGCTGACGATTAGTGCCATGCCAAACGTGGATTTATGATGCTACTCACCCGAGTCCAAATTGACCAGCTAACATCATCACACGCGGATGTTAGATCTTCGGCGAAGAATTTGGCGTAACTTTAATACTGTCAGCAATGCAAAACGAAGCAAATGTCATGACACTTACCCAGTGTAGTAGATCATCCCACTATCTTCAGTTAGCCTTGAAACCTGAAATATGGAGCATTTTTACTGACTCTGAAGCTAGCTTCAACTTTGCCGCCGTGATGACAGTGTCCAAGCTCTTGCCGAAGGCATCGTCGGCAATCATTTCTTGTGTACGGGCCAATTGCCCAGCGCAGCCCAGAGCCAAATTTTCCCAGTTGAAGGAATCCTTCCAAAAAAAGGTCGTCTCATTGGCGGCCAGACGTGCCACATCCACTTCGTCTGGGGTAAATGAAGCCCATCGGAAGATACAATGGTTCAGGATATTCGAGAGCTCAACATCATTGCCACCTAGGTCATCACTCCTGTTAGTACAGTTCATGAGGTAGACTTGGGTGATATATTTACCGGCTGATAGCAATATAACCTGTTGGTCCGCGTTGAGTGCCGGAATTTGCTTTTCGAGGACATCGGATGTGACTGCCCCAGAGCATGACTCAAATTGAAAAGTGCGTGCTGCTTGATCTCCCAGCCGTTCATCGGTATGGATGAGATAAGGATACGCATTATCATAACGACTGCATGCCCAGTCTTTTCACCGGGAAAGAATATCTGTCAGTAAATGTCCTTCAATCCTAAGCCAGGGAGAGATCAATACCACCGTAAGATCCAAGCCGGCCACCAGCGCCAATTCCAGCCGAGTAGGAATCGCCGATGGCGGCCATTTTTGTGATGAAGGAAAGGTCTGCCGGGTCGAATTCATCAGTAGTATCTCTCCCAAACAAATGTTCAGTGTTCAGGCTTGCATTCCCTAGTACTTCCCGGTACCCAAGAGGGTTTGCGAGAGTATAACTTCCTAGGGTAGCAATAGCCACCAGGCTATGCCATGATGGTTTGAGCATGTCGAACTTAGAAGGCCAGAAGCCGATGAGAAATGGAGAGAAGATGATGAAAATGGGCAGAAAGACAATGAGAAATAGGAAAAGGAAACAGGATATTGCGAAGACTCAAAGCCACTAGAAGCTTCAAGCGCTGTAAGAGACTTCTTATACCCATGCTTTTTAGTGTGGTATCATACGCCCTCACGGCTTCGCCACCCAATCTCAAAGTTATTACTAGTTCTGTCCTCACTATCACTATGGCATCCCAAATCGGCACGCAAACCGCGGCAAATATGGTTCAAATACTTGGCGCATAAGGCACGCGGATAGGCCCGGATAGGCCCGTTTAGTGGATACTCGCGTAAAAGCCGATATACATAACTACCAAGCTTCCTACCGTTTTTGTTTTCTCTCTTTCATTATTCGTGTACTTCGTAATAGTCTATCATGTTGGTCTTATCCTTCTCCTTCCATCTTTGATCTTTGATCTTTTCTTGAACTTGACTCTCACAGGTATCAACACGTGCAGGTTAGCCCCTGACGGCGCCATAACGCGCTAGTGCTAGTTAGATTAGCATTAAATGCCTCCGTCGCTACTCCGTACTGTATCCACAACCTTAGCGCTCAGACTTTTCCCTAGCGCTCCAACTTTGACTTTTTCCTGGAAGAAGCGGCCCCAATGTCGATACGCATGAAGCAATAAGTCCGTCTCAAGCTCATAAAAGCATTCTTGGCGCGGGTTTCCGACATGGTGCCAATCTCCGAACGATCACAAGTAGTATCAATACTGGACCCTGTAGCTCCATCAGCTGATCGATGTGCTTCCTCTATACGGAACTATTCGTTAGTTTGTCCATATTAGCATTTTAAGGCGTGATCCATCGGCTTGTCGACATTACTTTGGATATTGGAGCTCTTGCTACAAATGGTAATACTCTATCTTGCCGCTGGAACCCTTCCGGCAATCTTCCGGCAATGCAACACTCGGACCCTTTCAGTGGGCCAAGAAAGAACCTCCCTCGCCTTCATTTCAGGACTAGCCTCGCATGTTAGCTCGAATTCAGGCTGTGTTTATCGAAGAAAAATTCATATGGACCATAGCACAGAAAATGAGATGTAACCACCCGAGACATTCTCATCGGAATACAGTCTAGTATAGAGTCGTATAGCAGTAATACTAGTGCTATTCCACCACTAGTGTATAGTGGGACTGGTCCTTCAAACAGAGAAAAAAGAGACTAGCAGGCACAGCACAGTCCAAAGCGGCGATGCTTCGAAGACTTGCTGGACCTCATAATAGTCAGTCGTACACTTTATTGGAATCAATAATCCCACCTTTCACTCTTGGTGGCTTGGATACTAGCTATTTTCAACTTGATAAGGAATGTACCATATGGCCTAAGTACGGAGTACAGAAATGCAAATGTAGCGTTCCGAGACATTTGGCTTTGGCCCTAGCGTCTAGCATATACGCCGCTTCGTATAATAATATATAGTTATTTGCGCAATTTAAATCTTGTCCTAGATTGAGAGGTCCGAGTCTTGGCTGATCCGAAAGGAAGATATTCGGATTTTCTAAGCGACAAATTGAAGCCATTATTTTCACTAGTTAGACTCATTTGTAATTGAAATTAGAACTATTGTACATCGGCCAGACAACCCTTTATAAGGATAGACCGACCTCTGCCGCTCAGAGATATGTTTCTGGGGACAACAGGTACTTCTTGGAGTTTCATAGTTCACTGTGCATGAGTATATGAAAAGCCTAGCTTTCAAGTCAAGAAATCATACTCCGAGCCGTTGTCCATTTCCATTGTCGCGGTGTAATTAACGCCTTCCTTCAACTGGAGCTTGACATGGTGGCTAATGTATTTGAAATTTCTAGATCCCCGTCGGTCACACTCAAATTGAGTGCTCGCTTCAACGATGCTCTTCCCACTCGTCCGAAAGATCGGTCTTTTGGCCTTTGGGGCCTTGGTCGTGGTCAACCCTGCACTTGGAGCAAAACAGCCCAAGCTAGGTAGTTACGACCTGACGGAAGCCAAAATGCCGCTTGGCCCGCTCAAAGTTACCCTAGACTATAGCCTCGCAACAACTTGGCCGACGCCGCTGGATCTCAATGGGCCAAAGGTCAAGCGCAATTGGCAATTTAGCACCCACATGGTGTTCGCGAATTCCGTTGATGAAATATCGGACGGGCAGCTCTGGCAAATAGCACGAGATGCGGTTGATGAGATGATTGCTGACCGAAGCCAATATCTCATCGGGCCCATGGCACAACCTAACGCCATGGGAATTCTGGCCTGGGGCAATGAGATCATACTTGCGTCTTCTATGAAGGGAGCAGGTTCTTTCTCCTATGACTTTCTTGGAGGTGACAACCCGGTCGGCAGAAGACTAGAGATGTGCCAGATGCTCTGGGGGGGAGACTGGTCGACTACCCATAAGAACAATGGTAATTGCGCAGAGGAATTCGCGGCCTTCTTATACCACAGACAAAACGAAGTTGAACTGAAAGGACAAAACCCGAGAGTTGGCACCTGGGTCGCGGGAAAAGCTTGGAAACAGATAGATCCATGTGGAACTGGTGATGCGGTAAGTAATTAGTGTCCTTAGAGAAGCTTATGCTTCATGAAGATCAACTGACAAATGTATAGGACATTTGGGGGTGCAATCTTTTCGTCCAGGGGGAGGGAATGAGGGTAATGGATACTCAAACAGCACCGGAGCCTTACACGTTGGCCAGCCTTGCTGGAGGCCTGACCCGTCAGGAGCAAATTCAGTCATGCGGGGGTGACCCTAGAGTATTCTTTCCGTAGAAAAGATGGGCAGGCCCGAAGGGATATTGTTGACAGAAGGATTTGTATCATATATGGAGCTATCATTATATGATGTTGAAGTATTACAAGTGTGAGGTGTAGTACTGCATTTAACCAGTATTGTAAGAAGGGTAGTCGTATGGTAGTTCCAAAAGTAAGATGTGATGTGCAATTTGGAAGGTAAAAAAGTCTCAAGATCTATAATCTAATAAATTGCAGGCTTTTACATACAAAACAGGGAATCTCGCTTCTGTGTTGGGGACCCCAATAATGTTGGGAACGCACAACAACAAAGCAAGCATAGATTTCATCCAGGACAAGTGAAAGTATTTTTTCTGCAGAGATGTGAACCCCCAATTGTTTGATGGCGCCATTGACGCCAAGACGTTTGGAAGGCCAAGCCTGGATTTCAACACAGACCTGAGTCCCTGACTGGTTCTGCTTCAGTTATTCGAACCTGAATTCCCGACTGGTGACCTATGTCTTCGAGACTCTGTATCATCTCAGGTCCCCAAACCCTCAAATCAATCCCTAACAGACAAAACCCTTGCAGACGAGGAGTGAATGTCTTCCATTCTTGTAGCCATGGTCGGATAGCCTCTAGCAAGTATGTAGTCTCCCATTCCCATTCCCATTCTTGTTGAAAACATAGTCCGTCTGTGACAGTCAGCCATTCAAGGTTTCTTGGAAGGCATTCCTGTAGGCGAGCCACATTAGGCGTGGACGAGGAAAATCCAAACAGAAAGGCAATTGGAACCTCTAGATTTTGCAGCATATGGAGTTCGCTAAAAGTTTTGAACGACCCCCTAAACCGAACCTCCGGGTATTCGGGGGCTGATTCTGAGAGGGATGTCCCTGCCGTAATAGTCAAATCTGTTAAAGAATTTTGAACGTGGGATAGACCCGCGGCTAATTGATCCAAATCAATGATATCGGTGACATATTCATCTTGAAGATCTCGCCGAAAGTACCAATCCCATTTCAATTTTCGAAGGTTTGGGGTGATTGATAGTACTTGGGCGAGAGGCCCCTCACGTAGCATTGTCAAATCGAGCGATACGAGTTTGGATGCGTTTGGTAGGGTTTTCCCGGGCCATTTGAAAGTTGGCGGGTTATCAACCAAGACCCTTATCCGTTCAACAGACGGTAGGTAGAAGAGAGGGAGGACATCTGCAGTATTTCTAGCGTCTGTATACTTGCGTATGAAGAAGCCAACGCCGGGAAATATAGCCTCGACATCTTGGAGATATGAAAAGGAATTGAGATGACTATTTTTCTCACAGAGGGCCGAACGAAGCATCATACCCATAAGGCGACTCTCTCGGGTGAAGTTTTGGCTGAGCTGGAGAGATTTCAGACATCGGAGCTGTGATAATAAGAGTGACATGAACGCGTCCACTGTTCCGGCGCGTAACTCTTGGATCCATTCACTGGCAAATGAAACGGAGAGATTTTCGATACAGTTCACGAGCCCATCCAAAGGAACTTCACCAAGTGGAAGTTTCGGACTACTTATCTTGTAGTCATAGAAGTATTCATCGAAGCTATCCCCACTAAGGATTAGAACATGAATAGAACTTGCGAGCTCGGGCCTTCGCACGATATTATGCAAAAACTGAGCGATCGGAGGGGTTTGAGATTTTGTCCATGTCAATTCGACGCGATTGTAGAGAAATGACTCAGCAACCGCGCGCAAGTCCCTATGCGTAAGAGATAGTGCGTAGAGATCGCTGCGCGATAAAGTTGCAAATACGAGGCGCAACAGCTCTGTAGGGATGGTGAGAATAGAGGCCGCCATTTGATGATTTCCGACTGCTATTTCAAAGAGCCCAAGAGTGACATCTCGTGCCTGTTACAAGTAGGGTGTAGCCCTAAGTACTCTAGACCCAATCAGGAAACGACGACATACTTCTGTATAATCTGCTATTCCCCCATAAAAGCGGCGGCAGCTAAAATAGGAAAGCCCCACCCTACGAAGACCCATAGCGCTCAGGGTTCAAAACTCCTTTCCCACCCGGCAGATAGAGTCACCTATATCGTATGCTTGGGGATATTATGTCCATTGATCTAAGTTGTTAACACTGATTCTCTTATATGCACATGAGAAGAAATCAATTTTATCGCAAAAAAGCCACAAAATGCCAAGTTCACGCATAGGATGCCCAGCCTATTTAAAATTAGTAAAGCGCGATGGTGAAATTG